TGCCTGTGGTGGGGAAACCTATGTAAGGTGGACCAGTTTTGACCTGTGTGACCTGATATTCATGTTTTACCAAATAAATTAATTTGAAGTTTACATGTAGTTAATTGTTTCCAATAAACATACAGTATTTACACAAATGAAAGGTCTGGTTTTTTTTTTGTTTGGTTTATTCAGATTCCCATTTAGCTGTGTGACAGACATGCAGCATTTATTATTCCACATACAATGCTATTCTACTGTCAGATCAAGAACCCTATTCAGATTCAGAATTTTGTTTGTTTTGTTTCATGAGTTGTTTAGGTGACCGTCCAAAGGGGGAAGTTTCTATTAAAATTTACATCCTACTTTTTATATACTTAAGTGTATACATCCAGGCAACAATATGGTCCATTTGGTCAGACATTAACAATCCAAGCTTGAATTCTAGGTTTTAGTTTCACATTTAAATCAAGCTCTTATTGAAATAATCAGAACAAGGGAATATTAATAATTTATCATTTGTCTTTAAAAAGAATTAAATGTAATGAATAAATGAATGAATAAAACATATGCAGCAGCATTTTTTGTGCTTTTGATCAGAGATGATAAAGGTATACTTAGATTTCCTTCAGTGCTTAAAGCAGTCAAAAACTTTTGCAAATTCTTTGGTGATTTCGATTATATTTCCCAGCCCACCAACACACTAAAGTTGTCAACTGTAACCAGTTACATAAAATTAAACCATTTACCTGAAATNGAGTCTGAAGTCAGCACGGAAAATGTCAGATCACTGCCTCAGAGTCTGCTGGAGGTCGCTCCTCAGGCCTTTTTGTGCCGTTTGAATGGATTCGAGGAGTCTAAGGGCTCCTGGGATGATGAAGTTTATGATGACTTCTACAATCTTCTGATTGATAAACCACTCAAAGTGACGATCTTTAATGTAGAAACCCACTCAGAGATCAGAGTTCCTCAGTATGCAGTGGAAATTGAATGCGACAAAGTGGTCATCAGTACCTTAATGCAGAAATACTGGAATCCATTTTCTACAAAACAGTCAAAGAATGAGACGACTCAAAAAGAAACCCAAGATGTCTACACTGAGGCCAGTGTAACTCACATTGATGTTTCCAAAGGAAATGTAAGCACTTATATGTACAAAAAACCAAGCATTACTCAAAATAAGACAGAGCTGGTATACGCCTCTTGTATTGTGGAACCACATTTCTTCTGGTGTCAATATGCTGACAGCGAAGATCTCTGCAAAGTGTCTCAGCTTGCTCAGGAGGCAGGACAGTCTGATCAGGACGTGATGTTATCTGAGAGTCTTGGTCCTGGCAGCCCATGTCTCGCTCTGTTCTCCAGTGACAACCAGTGGTACAGGGCTCAAGTGATTTGGAAAGTTGACAGTACACTCCATGTTGTGTTTATTGACTATGGAAATGAGTCTGAAGTTGACATAAAAGATGTCAGATCACTGCCTCAGAGTCTGCTGGAGGTCGCTCCTCAGGCCTTTTTGTGCCAATTGAATGGATTCAATACGTCACAGGGTTCCTGGGATGAAGAAGTGTCTGATGACTTCTACAATCTTCTGGTTGATAAACCACTCAAAGTGATGGTGCTAAATGTGGAGGACCATTCAGAGATTGCTGTTCCTCATCATGCGATTGAAATTGAATCTGAGGGTGTGGTTGTAAATGCAGCAATGCAGAAATATTGGAAACCTGTTATCGAAGAATGTCTCATGACAGAGAGTCCTCAAGGAGAAAACTTACTCCAAGGTGGTCAAACTGAGTCCAGCATGACACAAGGAAATGTGAGTACTTGGGGGTACAAAGAGCCTAATATTTCCATAAATAAGACGGAGACGGTTTATGCCTCTTGCATTGTGGAACCACATTTCTTCTGGTGTCAGTACACCAACACCGAAGATCTTTGCAAAGTGTCTCAGCTTGCCCAGGAGGCAGGACAGTCTGATCAGGAC